TTGTCACTGGCACCCAAAAAGACACAAAGTCCTGGATCCTTCCACTTCTTCCTCAGGGCTTGTGCTTACTCAGCCCCTGACCTTGGGGCTCTGGGTCCCATTCCCAGTCAGGGCTTATCTGCTGGACCTGACAATTTATTTTGCTTACACTATTTGACCCTTGGCATCCTCTCTCTCTGTCAATCCCGATCTTGGTCTCAATCCCGGTTTTGGAATTTCCCTGTGGTTCCTTCAGTGCTGGGTGCTGTATCCCCTCTCAGCGAGGCTCTTCCTGTGACCCAGTTTAGTGGGCTTGCCTCAGCCTTGTATGGGGTCAGATGCGCTCCATATTGTAGCATTTGTTATAAGTATTAATTTTTGATACTTGGGGAAGGGAGATAGAATTAGTCTCTTCATATTTCATTGTTTCAGGAAAGGGAAAAAGTTATTTTTTTCTTATTTATTTTTGTGTTAACTGAACTGGTTGTTTCTACCCACTTTCATCTGTGGTCTCTGGTTTCCCACTTTGAAGAATGATTCCTGAGTGCTTTATCAGCTCCTTTTTCCTTCAAGGTCTTCACACACATATCTACAAACCACATGAGCTGTGTTGGTTGCCAAAATGCTTGAAGCTTCCTTCTGAATCTTTGAATATATCTGACAATTTGTTAAGACTATAGGCTAAAGTTGGATTCATGTGAGTAAACAAGAAGGAGCTTTGGTAAATTAATCAATTAAGATTATACCTGAAGTTCTTGTGTGGACAAGAAATATTTATTATCTTTTTTACTCTCTGTGCCTTCTAATGAATTACTATTTAATACCTTCTTGATGTTAATGGTATATTTACCCTCATATCACATCAAGAATGCAAGTTTCTTCAGAGCATGGACTTGAACTGTTCATATTCACAGCACCTGAAACAGTATTTGACCAATAGCAGGCAGCCAATCAGTGTTTGTTGAAGAATGAACAAATGAATGAATGAATAGCAGGGTAGATTTGTGGCTGGACCACAGCATTTGGCATAAAGAGGTCCCAGTGTGAGTTATGGTTATGCTACTTCCCAGCTAATGAGACTTCTCTGAATTTCAATTTCTTCATCAGTAAAAAGGAGTAATAATAGTACTTACCTCATAGATTTTGCAGGAGAATTAAATAAGAAAATGAATGTAAAGTTCTTAGCACTATAGCTGGCATGTTTTCAGAATTTGATAAATGATGACTATTTTGTCTATTATTTTCAATGAATAGCCTCAAATGTTGAAGCTTATTAGAGGTAATTGAACCAATTTAATACAACTAGTAGTGATGACTGTAATAAAGTCAAATTAATTTAATTAATCTGTCAGCAAGATTATACTTAAAGACCCAAGTTGACAAAACATGTATTGGCCATACCCATATGCTTAAAACCCTACCCTAGGCTTTCAGAGATGGGCAGAATACAAAGATAGATGAGACAAAGTCCTTCCCTCTAGGACCATCAACTCCAGAAGGCTTACTGTGTTTGCTGTACTTACTGAGTATACACGTCGGGCAAGGTTACCTTCCACATCGTCTGACATAGTCTCCGTGCTTTGCAGAAAATTATTCTACAACACTCAGTCTCTCTTTGAATTCTGATGAGGACAAGAAACCTATTGCCTCATGAAACAGCTCATTCTATTTGGGAGCAGTAATAACCATTAAAAAGATCTTCCTTAAAATCAGCACAAATCTACCTCCCTATGATTTCTACACATTGATCTAACTCCTGCCTTTTGAACACACCCAGAATAAATCCATTTTTCCCCTGTGTATCAGAGGTCAGCAAAGTAAGGCCGAACGTAGCCCACTATTTATTTTTGTAAATAAAGTTTATTGGAACTCAGATAAGCCTATTCATTTCTATATTGTTTGTGGCAGGGCAATTACAACTGAGAACTCAAGGACTGCAAAGTTGAAAATATTTACTATTTGACCCTTGAGGAAAAGTTTTTTGACCTCTGCTCTCTCTGACAGACCTTGAAACACATAAAGACCGCGAGCACGTCCTCTCTGTAAGTGGGAAGCCTGGAGCTGAGCCTGGAGCTCTAAGCGGGAGCTAGTGGGGGCAAAATGGAGGGCACCCTCACCTCCCTTGTTCGGACCCCACACTTCCAGTCATGTCGCTGTTACAGAGAAAGGGCTCGCTGCCTGAGGTAGAAAAAGCTTGATTGTGAAGTGGACCAGAGAAGAGACAGGAGGCAAGACTCACATCTGTCTCTCTGATCGAGGGTCTGGGGAGAATTTTAAGGGGTTGGGAGAAACAGGCTGGTATGTGGCCCTGGTGGGGCAGGTTTCCATGGGAGGGTCTTTAGAATTTGACCATTTATGGTCAGAAATGGGGCTTCAACACAGCCGTTCCTGCACCGACGCTTCACTTCTGAAAGGGGTCATGCCCCGGTCCTTTGGCTCCATGGTGGGGAGAGAGTTTGGTTCTGGGTATAATTGGCAACATTTTCTCCTCTGCACACGCTTAGGCTACATGACTTGCAGCTTTGTTCTGTTGTCTCTGAAAAACAGTTCAGGACCTTGTAAGACACAAAGATAGGGCCCGTTTGAGTTGGTTTTGCTGTCACATGGCCGGTGATCAGGTTGATCTTTGACTGACACATCATACTTGAGCATATAAAGGACTAAATCTGAGATTGTTTTTTCCCCAGGAGCTTCTGTTAAATTATGCCTCCCTCCCTCCACCCCCACGTTGGTGGTGCCTGGTGTCGGAAACTATGTACAGAAATTTACATCTCTCCAGCTTGTCCAGAGCAATCAGGGTCTGCATACAGTCAAGGGGTGTATCATCAGGGTCAGCAGGAATAAGATGCCAGGCTCAGCTAGGATTCTTAAGAAAATAGAGTAGAGAAGCCATTTACATACCTATGGGCAGGGAATTTTTCCTACAAACAGGCAGAGAGGGGGTTTGCTGGGACCCACTGCCAGCTGGAGCCATGGAAGAGAGACTGCCCAGTGGGAGCTGTGATGGTAGAGACACAAGCGCCCTCAGAGCTGAGCCACAGGGAAGGCAGGCAGCGAGGGCAACAGTCACCCCCGTGTGCTCTTCTCCCACCCTCAGCCACCGTGGCTGGAGCCCCACCCAAAGCGGGAGGCCAAGAGAACCAAGGGGGCAGCCCCCCGGGGCACAGAGCAGGACCAAGAGGAGAAACACAATCTGGGGCAGAGAATGACAAGAGCTAAATGGTGAGCCAGGCATCTTTTAAATGCCAAATGACATATGAATGAATGAAATGAGCCCGACGCTCAACAAATGTTTGTTGAACTGCAGGAATGAATGAAAGGACTCTGACCTCCTTACGTCCTCCTGCCCAGAGCTTTCACGGCCGCTGCTCTGCCTTCCAGACTCTCCACACCCCCACCCCACGCAGCCCTCGTCCTATGCACCCCTCCCTTTGCGCCCCTCCCCAGCCTCTGCTGACCCCCCTGGCATCCCCCAAGAGTGTAAAAAGAGTCTGGATTTCATTTAGGAAGTAACAGAGCAGAACAGGTGTTGTTCTGAACAGAATTAGGACATTACCAAAGAGAGGGCTTTGAGCCCTGAAATGATTCCCAGAATCTGAAATACATTCTAGGATGTTCAGAGTGTTCAAAATGAAAAATTCAGCATCACTGAATTCTATGGGAGGAAAAATGGTGGCTTCTGAGAAAGTTGCCCCAGACATTTGTTATACAAGCTCTGGATTCAACAGACACCTCATTACCAAATGCCTTGGGGCTGACTGTTTTATGCTCAAATGGTCCTCATCATCTCCTAGGCTTCTATTGCAAAGATCTCTGGGCTCTCCGTTCATTAGGCCAGCGGCGGGACTGTTGGGAGAGGGGGCTGCGTGAGGGAGGCATTCTCAGCGGCATGAAGCCAGTGGTAGCTGTCCACGGCTTCCTGCCTGTCACTTCCCCCTTCTGTCAGTTGAGTCAGCTCAACTAAACATAGAGAACATCCAGCACTCAATTCTTCGAGTGATACAGTCTCTAGGAGTCTGGATTTTGAAGACAGAAATTATTTGAAAGCATTGTTTGATTTACTACTCTAGTTATATTGTTTAATTTTGCATGCAATGTGCAAGAAAAAATTCAGCGCTGAATCAGGAATTGCTGTCCCTGTATCAAAGCAAATTTTAAAAAGTAACTACGGACATATACGAGCTTATTTTGGATTCAAGTCCTGAAATCATTTTTGTTCTAACTCAGATCTATACTCGTAACATTTGCTACCTTGTGCCTCACAGACCAGGGCCAGTCAGCCCCCAGAGTTTAAAATGCCTCACACAAAACTGAGAACCAAATATATTGGAAGGAGCAAGGTAGGAACGATGATTGCTGCTGGGCTCACACCCGACAGCCCAGCGAACAGTCCTGCCCTCACCCAAAGTTAGTCACGTTTTGAAAAGGCTTCTACCAATGCTCATATGAACACGTGAGACAGAATCGATCTTGGCCAAATTCCCGATTCAGCCATGGCGCTGGCAGGATTTGTCAATGAATTTTATTGAAAGTCTCCAGGACCAAGTTTCATAAAGTCTAATCCCAGTTGGAGTAAGATCTGCAGATTAGATGATAGCACTGTATCCACATTAATTTTGTGATTTTTAACCATTGCACTGTATTTGTGTAAGAGAACGTCCTTGTTCTTAAGGAAACATGCTGAAATATTTAAGGATTATTCCCAAATGATTCAGAAAAAAAATAGCAATTGAAGTATACAGCAAAGAAAAAGAATAGTCAATTAAATGTAGGAAATTATTAATAATTATGGCATCTGGGTAACGGGTACACAGGCATTTCTTTTTTACTCTTTTTGCAATGTTTCTATAAGTTTGAAATTACTTCATACTGAAGTTACCAGGAAAGTAATTCTTAAAAACTTGAACTGTTGTATGCCTGAAGTGCAGTGATTCTGGTCCTGCTGGTACTGCAAGGTGACTCAGAAATGACATCTCCTATTTTGTCATCTTTGGGCTAAAATGGATCACTTTCTCTTTCAGTTAAAGAAATCGTGTCTTCATGGAGGTGAACACTAAGGATGATTTGTACGTGAACCTGGAGGTAAGCAGAACTCGATCACGTGCCCCTGTGTCACATCGCTCATCTGTCCTGATGCCCTTTTCATCCAGGCAAAGGCAGGGACCCCACTCTCTCTGCTCCCAGAGAGCAGAATTCCAAACCCGTCAGTGTTTACACTGTTGCATTCGGCTCTTCTCAAAGACCTTTTCAATCTCCCTAGTTTGCCCTGCTCAGAAAAACATTCTGTTTTTCTCAAAGAAAATGCCAAACTATTATATTAATAGCTGATATTACCTAGTGGTGCAATTAGGGGAGGTTTTTATTTTCTCTTTATATTTTTCTGTACTTGAGAGATTTTCAACAATGACTGTGTTATTTTTTTAAATCAGAAAAAGAAATATTGTGTTGGCTTACATTTTCCCAAGGAGTTCTACCCAAATTCTTGCCATAGCTTTCCAGGCCTTCTTCAGTCCCCTCTCCCCCGAACCATTGACATACTTTATGGAAAGACTCACGACAGTCTCTGGGTCTTCCTCATTAACCATCAGCAAGGAAAATCACTTTATAGCCCTAAGACTCTGACCCCAGCCACAATCTGTTGGCGTGTCTCTCACAAGCTTTTGGTGTCCTCTCCCTACGCCCAGTAATATCATACTGTCATTGGAGCTAGAGTTGGATAAGAAGTACTTTACTCACATACTCCCCCTCATACCAGCCCGAACACCATGTCCCTGTTCCACCTTCCTAGGATGCCAGACCCAGCTGACAAATAGGCCATGATGTATTATGACTCCATTTTGCAGTTGGAGAAACTGAGCCTCAGGGCTTGCCTTTGTACAGACGACAGTAAAATGGGACTTAAACTACCCTCAGACCAACTTGACATGTGTAACATATATAACCCTGGAGATGCACTCCCTCTCTTTCAAAGGAACTTAAGGACTCATGAAGATATGAAACTGACTAGGTCATTGATCAGAAGGTAAATCTAGCCAAAATCATGGTAGGATTTCCTGAGGCCGCCCCAGGGTATTTTCTAGTCTCCCAACATTGAAAAAGCAATAGCCCTTTAAGGGCCATGTGACACTTCAGTGTCAAGAACCAGGCCAGAGCTTTCCCTCTGGGCCAGAGTTCATCAGCTTTAGCCCAGTTGACCTTGTGGGCCAGATAATTCTCTGTCTTAGGGACTGTACTGCGCATTGTAGAATGTTTACCAGCATCTCTGGTCTATCTGCCCACTAAATGCCAGTAGGAAACTAACCAACCCAACTTGTACCAAGCAACAATGTCTTCAGATATTGCCTAAGGTTTCAGGGAGGACAAAATGTCCCCCCAGTAGTGACAATAAAATGTTTCTAGACATTTCAAAATGTCTTTCCCCGCAGATGGGGTATATAGGAGGGGATGTAGGAGCAGGGGAGCAAAAAACACCAAAATACACCCCCATGGAGAACCACAGCCCAGCAAGGACTTTTGTTTTTAATGCAAATGGACTCAAATTGATAGTGTTCTGAGCAAATATTATAAGTAGTTGCAGAGGGAAAGCCATAAATCATCAAAAAGCTTTGGCACAACTGGATCCTGTGGCAAATGAGCCCTGCCCAGTAGTATTGGGCAACACCACAATCTGTGAGTCAGTCCAGGTGGCTTCTCAAAGTGTCTGTCTCCTTTCTGGGCTTCTGCCCCTGGATGCCAACTGTGTTACAGAGCCTCAGAGGGATCTGGCTGCTATTTTTTCTTTGTGTACTTATTTGTAGACATTATTGCACAAAAGATTTGGAGATTTTGTCTCCAATTTACTTAATGAAATCTGATGGTTTTTAAACAAATAGGCATGTGATCTAAGCAGAGGCTTAACTGGAAATCCTTTCTTCCATTCCTCAGATTGAAGAGCGGGTGAGGTGGTGATAGCAGATTTACCCACAGTACCAGTAGGTGAACCGAGGTCCCAAGAGTAAATCCCAAAGCTCTAGGGTTGGTATCCGCTCTTCCTGCTCATCTCCAGCTCGGCCTCTTATGCCCTCAGGTCACCTCTTTTCCTTGCGTCCACCCCATGTTATCCTCCACCTTTACCCAACCTAGTGTGTGGTCTGCAGGGCTGCTTCTGATGCCCGTGATTGTCTGTGAAAACACAGGCAAGAAGCTGAGAGTCACTGTGCGGTCATCCACGAGAACAGAAACACAGCTCAGTTTGGGGGTACAAAGAACATCTAGAAAGCAGTGCTCACGAAAGAATTCAGAAGAAGAAAAAAGTCCCCATCCCTGACCAGTGAGGCTCAGTGGGTTGGGTGCTGTCCCACAAAGTAAAAGGTCACAAGTTTGATTTCTGGTCAGGGCTTGTAGCTGGGGTGCAGGTTTGGTCCCAGTTGGGGCACATACGAGAGGCAACCAAACGATGTTTCTCTCCCACATCAATGTTTCTCTCCATGTCTTTCTACCTTCCTTTTCCTCTCTCTAAAAATAAATAAGTAAAGTCTTAAAAAAAAAGAGAGACAGAAAAAATTCCCTAAAATTAGGGAAGATTAGAATTAAGAGCAGAAATACAATTCCTGTCTGAGACTCTGTCAAAAGTGCCATGGTCCATTCCGTAGCATTCGGTCTGGTTTCTGGGCTCTTTGACGGAACTGTTAGCCCTGCAACATTGTCCCAATTGCAATGGCCCCTCCCTGGCATTGCCTCCCCAGGGTGGATCAGAGTGCCTCTCAGGCTGGCATGCCAGGTTCTTTTGCAAGAGCTTGGCATCCGTCGGGTTCTTCCCATTCCAGCCCTCCCCACTCCGGCCCCCCTCCCACCTCCACTTCCCAGGCTCTTATCTGCTCATCTTGACCTCAAATCTCCCCAGCCTGGAAGAGGCTGGGAAAAACCTAGAAGCAGCCCCAGGCACTGGGGAAGATGTTCCCATTCATAGGGAATGCTTTGAAGTGAGTCTAAAACTCTGGGTCCATAATCTTTTCACCCACCTTGCTAGCCTGCCAGAGTCCTTCGAATTCCCATCATCTGAGGCTCTGCTTTGACTAAGTATGGGGTTTTTCAAAATCTGTGAGCTTATCTCCGAGAGATAAGACATTAGTTTATGGATAGGAATTTGCTTATTAGATAGCATGTTGGTACATCTCCAAGAAGAGAGCTTTGGGGTTGGGACACAGGACAGGTTCGTTGTGATTACGGTGGAGGGACTGAAATGATTGCGGTATTGAGCTCAGACCTGCACTGCCCAATACACTAGCCATGGGCAGCAATTTTCACATAAACTTGTTGAAATTAAATAATATTGAAAATTTAGTTTCTGAGTCACACAGGCCACATTTCAAATGTTCAATAGCCACATGTGTCTATGGCTACCGGATTGGACAGAGCAGATAATAGAACATTACCATCATCACAGAAAGTTCCATGGTGCAGCCCTCCTATACACAGAGGCTGGTGCTGGCCATGGAGAGTTCTGGAAAGCAGGGCAGCCTAAAATCACCAGCTTGGTAGGGGAGAATAGAGAAAAGAATTGCAAAGAGAAAGTGAAACAAGACCAAAGGCAAACTTTGTAGGCTCTGCCAAGGGCCCAGTATCGAGCAAACATGCCTCCACCCACCACAGAGCTTCTACTGTTGGCACCAAAAATAAAAGAGCGAGCAGTGTTGGCTCTGGGCCCTATTTTCTCCACTGTATGGCCTCTAAGCCCAGTGGGCTCCTCATGAAGCAAGAATCCCAACCCAGATCTTGAGCTGAGAGGGGCTCAGACCTCACTCACATGCGGGAGTCACTGGGCTTCCAGCCAAAAGGAAAGCAGCACCCTGGTGGCACCTGGCAGCCCATCAGCCCCCAAGAGCCTCCCCTGGGAGTTCCTGCCTGAGAAGACATTCAGGAGAAAGGAAGCACTTTCTCCATCTGGAATTGGGCCTCCACTCGGAGAAGCTGAGGGGCCTGCAGGATGTGAGGGGCGGTGTCACTCCTGAGAACACTGGTCCCTGCCTGCACAGAGCTCACAGCGATGTGGAGCATTTTCACAATACTAGCTCATCTGATCCTCACAGTCACTGGCTGAGGAGAGCAGGACAGATGTGCCCCTCTCCATGCTTTCCATTTAAAAAAATATTCTTGCTCAGAAAGAGGTGCCAAAGTCCATCTGACTGATAAATGGCAGAATTACCTCTCTCACGTGGTGGGGGTGACTTTGTACCTGTCCGGATCCCTCAGTCTGTCAGCTCCGAAGGGTGCGACGCCCTTTCAGATCATGCTGCAACCTCAGCTCACATCCAAGCCCAATCCAGCGATGGAGCCCCTAACAGTCTCATGGGCTCTCTACTCCCAAGTGACTCATGAGAGCTGCTGAGAAAGAGGACAAAGGGGGACTCCTGGCTAGAACAAGAGCACTGATGTGACTTTTCCCACACATGCTGGTATCTGGAAGATGAGGAAGTGGAAGTGGTGCTCATGGCAGCCTGTGTCCCGGAGCTGCTGGGTCTGTTTCCATGTGCACAGACACAGGGGATCTTGCTTTCGTGGGCCCCAAAGCTCTGACTCTGCAGCAGCAGTCCCTGGAACGCGCTGGTGGCTTCTGTGTGCTAGAAAAGTCAAGGATCCAGAAGACTGGTCAGATTAGTCCATTGATAGGACCTTCAGTAATTCGTGGCCATATATAGGGTATGGCAAAAGTAGGTTTAGAGTTGTTTGAATAGGAAATAATACAATAATTAATAAATAATGGTGTAAGAATACTGTGTTATGCATACTCACAACTGTGAACTGAGTCTAGCCCCACCCTGTGTGTAGGACTTATTCTCAAATTGGAAAGAATTTCTTACCATATGGGAGCCATTTACATACATGGCTACATAGGAGGTAAAATTCCATTATTTCCTTTTGACACAGCATGCACATAAAGACACTGATATGCAACTATTGGACTTGCACTTCTAGTGAGCTCTAGCACTAAATCAGCCATTGTCCAGAGAACAAGAAAGAAAAAAACAAAAAGATTATCAAATAAATAAAACAATAGTGAAGCTAGTGACAAAAAGGAAATGATTACCGTAAATGAGCCCAAT